GCCGCGCCCACTCGCACCTGGTGTCTCTTCCCAAGCACCTCTCTAACATCAGGACACCAACATTAACATAAGATTGCAATCAATAAAGAATGTAACTTAGATAATAACAAAGCAGTATTTTTTTTATTCAACCCCTTCAACATAAATTCAATGATGACCTACTGATCTACAAATAATAGGAATAAATTACACAACTGAATTTTTAACTTACTTCATTTTCCCATGAAGGTGTAGCTTGTGAACTGGGTGTTGCTGTGACAGCTTTCTTTACAGATGGTGTATCTTCAGAACTCTGATCCCATCTACCCTTCCTTTTTGCAGCAGGTTTAGCTGCTTCACCATTAGGTTGGGCCACTGGCTTAAGAGTTCCCTCTCTAGCTTTCTCTAATAATTTTTTTCTTAACTGAAATAAATGTAAAACATTAACAATCACTTATATATTGGTTATTAATATTTTCAATTAGTGCTTCAGTGAAATAAAGAAAATTCAAAATTTAGAATTCAATGCTTACCTCAGTTTCTTCAGCTCTTAAATATTGTTCTTTCATGATCTCTGTATATGTCCTGGACCCAACATCAGGAGTTTTGCCACCTGGAAACATAAATATTGGATAACAACTGAAAGTTAATTTTAATTATTGAATTCATAAGACTATTCATTACTTTAGTATACAAACACATTATATCAAGTATCAGCATACCTTCTGCAAATGGGTCATTCCTTTCAGGAGATATTATCATCCTGCGCCTCTTTTGTCGGTATTCATCTTCTCTATCTGCAATCGTAGGTCTTCTTTTATCTGCAAATGGGTCATAGTCTTTGTCACTCTGTAACAGAAATGTATCAAACAATGATTTTAACAACATAACCTTAAAGGTTTGAGGTTTTAATCCCGGCATATTATATACCTGTGCAATATCATTAAGAAGGGATGCAGGTGCTGTGTAGCCTGGTCTTTTCTGTGTGACTGGAACATTTTCAACATCTTCATCTTCCACTTCATCATTAGCAGCAATTGATGTCACATAACCATCATATCTTGACTTTCCACCATGTCCAGCATTATCATAAATGTCACTGTCGTAATAGGTTTCTCCCAATGACACTCCTTTCCCTGTACCATTTTCTGGCAATTCATTTTTTTTCTGTTGTATCTCCCTTATCTGAGCTTCAATAGCTGTAAATTGTAAATAGATTTATGTACAAATTAGGGAAACAGTAACATAAGAAGACTTAAGAATGACAATAAATACTGTGGTAACAAACTAAACAACCATCAGTGAATAAAGACGACTATCTCTGTTTAACAGATTATTCTTATTTGAAATCGGCATGTTTAAATAAGGCAGATCAGAAAAATATTTTACGGTTTTCTTAGTTTGTTGTTAAGTACATTGAATAATCAAACATTTGAATTTAATTTTCAGTAACCTAAAAAACAGTGACGCATCTATACACATTACTAAAAAAATGAAATAGGACCTTAAGATATTTACTTTTAATACCAAGTTTTCAACTGCATAATGAATAAGAATACAGTACAATACATTATAATTGGTTAAGATTCTATCGACACAAAAGAGGTTGTTAGATATAGGCGTTTTGATTGCATTATAAGTTAAAAAATCTACTACTAATAAATGTATAGTTAACAAAAGTTAAATAAATATTGTACATAAAAATATTAAAACCTTTGAATAACACAACATAACATAAATACAGAGAGGCACGTAAACTAAAATGGCGAGTCGTACTTTGGGTATACTAATTTTTAACTTACCTTCGTGGGTGCGAGGTATTTTATCCATTATTATAATGTCATTAGCAAAATCTTCTTGAAATGTCCAACAATCCTTAGCAAATACGGTTTATTCAATCAGTATTATGAGAATTTTATAATGTAATGTGATTGTTAAGCAGTCCGCCAAGAATCCATATTTTGTTGCCAAAGACAACATATAGTACAGATAAAAAAAAATAAAATAAAAAGTTCGAACAGAAACAAATCACCATCCAAATTTTAATTTACTGCGTAATTTCTACTTATTGCCGGCTACAAAGCCCAATTTAGCTACAAAAGTTGAAAAATACTTAAATTAACATGAAATTGATATGTGTAAACGTGATATTAGATTTGTACAAAATAATTGAATTTGCATTTGCGTCTATGGATTAAGTGATAGATTACTTGAGAATCTGTCTGTGGCATAAGTTCTCCTTGCTCGCGGCAGCATTGGGTACGTGTGTTGGTCAAAAAATTAATTTGTTTTCTTCGCTATTTTAATTGAGCATTTGTCTTTTTTCGCCAGGAGGAAAAAATCCGATCCTGGCGTCGAAAGGATAAATTCCTAGGTTGATTTGCTACAGTACATAGGTAAGTATTGTTACATTTTACTAAGACGGGTTCCACGTCAAATGTGTTGGAAGAAGGTGACACGTATTATCACAAAATGTGGATACCTATCTCCAAGTTTTACATTTTATAAACTAATTCGAATTAGAAATATTTTTTTTGTACTTTAATAATGCGGTTGATTTTAATAGATGAGTTATATAAATTCAATACCGTAAATAATAACTTTTGTATCAATCTTCGGTCTCCGGTCGGACTTCTAATACGAATGAAATATATATGATAATATAACTAGTTTTGAAACAGGATGTTAATTATTAGTTTATTTCTTACAAATATGTATATAACATCTGAATAGTTTAAAGTTCTAACACATTGGAAAAGCAATAAACCACTTGATTCAAAAGTTCCTGTTTTTACTTTAAAAATAGTATTAAGGAACGTAAAAAGCAAGCGTTAAGTAACCGAAGTTGTCTCATTATACAGATATTTATATTCATAATATTGATAAGTGATTATTAATTTCAATAAGAATCTTTCATTTTTTTTTATATTCCATGGAAGATAAGGGAAAAACTAAATCAATTTCATTCCATATTTGAAGTAAAAATCTATAAAAATCTAAATGCATTTCAACTAGAAATCAAGTTGGAAATAAATCTATTCAAGAAATATTTTACATATCAAAATGTTGAAACCTTGTGCTTATCTCACATTTAAATCAGATTAACAATGGCTTATGATAACCTGAATTCTGATAGGTCATTAAAATGTTATTTAAATACATGGAAATAAACATGTCGGATAAAACATTTTAAGCACATCCTTCCTTTTTTTTAAAGTCCAAAGTAAAATTTGGATGTACCAAAACCACATTTTTTTATTACAAGTTCAGTTTAAAATTTTTATCTATATCTTATAATTGAAAGTACTCATGACCTTGAATTAAATTTAATTGATTGCTGTAATATATAATTTATTCGCCAAGTTGGTATTTAGAGAAAACTTAATTGGAGTAAAAATTTATTGAGACATCATGTTACAAAATTCCTCTACATCTCTTGAACAAATACTTTCATTATGACGAGGTCAAATCTCCCAATTATGTTATTTCTTAATTATTTTTAAATAAGCATGTATGATACATTTTTGGTTCCCGAAATCTTTTTATGTATAACTAAACAATATAGCCTATGTTACTCACAGATAACACAGCTTTTAACGTTGAAAGTGTTTTTGAAATTGGCACAGTAGTTTTTGAGTTATTACAATACATACAAAAATCCAAAAATACAAATCATTCCTTTTATAATATTAGTATAGATAGGTTCTTTAATGTCCTTAAGTACACATTTTCACGAATAAGTTCTCTGCCTATTGTTTGGGATACATACATTACAATAATTTCTACATAGGTATTACGATTATAATTCAATTGTTTCACAATTTAATCACCTGTTCAAATATTTAATCAAAGTCCAAACAATTGTATAAATATACACTTATGTAATACTTTGCTGATGTCAAATTACTGAACAGAAAACCTAATGGCATTATTCGAGTACTACATAATCTTGTAAAATATTGCAATAAGGTCTCAAAATAAAACTATTTAAACTTTTTTTTTAATACAGATAAAAGTAAATATGATTATTTATGCTGTTTATGTATGTGTGATTTATTTTATAGTCGATTTTATTTCATATATGGTCTCTTATAATATTCTATAGTACTGTAACGACTTGGCGCGGACAAGGACTGCTGGAGGAGGCGAAAATGATGCATCAGCAACCCATGATGGTTGGAGAAATGATACCGGTACACTCTGACATACCCGTGCATACTGAGGAAATGAACAATGTGGGCTACGATAACAGTGGCTCATATGCCTACGATGACCTGTTTCCGGCTCTGCCGCACTCTCAACCCCCTGTGCAACGTAATATTCAACAAGTTACTAACAAGATGAGAGTTGGCTCTTCACTGCATACCCAGGTAATTAAAATCATGCATACGCAAAACCTAATCTTGTATTTGATATCTTCTCTTTTTCATATATAGAAGAAAAAATTGCTTGTTTATTTGCATAAGTGACTTTATAAGATGCATTTTATAGTCCTGGCAGCTTGTTAGTAAAAAATATCATGGGTCTTAAACATTATGAAAATTGATTATAATCATGCTTTTATTAAATTTCTTTATTTTTTAATGTGCAGTTCCTAATTTGATTTACATTTTAGGTGTTCCATGTGCCATATGAGGAAAGAAAACTTGATAATGCTAATACTTTTGGTGAGGGTGAGTCTTTGAGAACCTGTCAGGCCATTACTAAAGACACTGGAGCACATATTGAGATATCAACTAGCAAAGATGGAAGTCTGACTTTCCTTATCACCGGAAAGCATAGTGCGGTACTGGATGCTAGGCGACAAATTCTAACTCATTTCCAACAACAGGTATAATAATTTGATCAAACACATTACATTTTAATGTTTTCCATCATTATGTTATTTAATATTTATTTACTATTGTAGGCAAGCAAACAAATAAACATCCCCAAAGAGCATTACCGCTGGATCCTGGGAAAACAAGGCCAGAAACTTAAAGAATTGGAAAAAGTGACTGCAACAAAGATAAGCGTACCCAGTATCTCTGATAACAGTGAGATAATCACAATTACCGGCACTAAGGAAGGTATTGAAAAAGCTGAACATGAAATAAGAGTTTGCTCCGAAGAACAGGTATGTCTTTTATTTGCTTAATGTATGATTTCAGAGAAATTGTTTTTAACAAAGATTAAATTTAAATGTATTTTTAACAGTCACGTAAGGCATTGGAACGTATAACTGTACCGAAGATCTACCATCCATTCATCCAAGGACCATTTGGTGAGCGCGCGCAGGCTTTGAGTGCGGAGACCGGGGCTCGCATTCATATACCACCCACATCCACTCAAAGCGATGAAATTGTTATTGCCGGAGAAAAGAACGGAGTTCTGGCTGCTAAGACCCAAATTGAACAAATCTATCAAGAAATGGTAAGTTTTTAAACAAAAAATGATTGTTGCACTCAAAAATGTTTTTATAACATGAATTTAAATTTTTTTCTTTTACTTCAAGGTCAGTAAATGTTCAACTGTGCGAGTGGAGGTTCCGAAATCTCAGCATAAATATGTCATTGGAGCTAGAGGAACAACCATACAAGAGATCTTAAGGGAAACTGGTGTGTCTGTCGAAATGCCTCCTCCTGATTCGCCTACTGGAACTATTACTTTACATGGACCCCATAACAAGATTGGAATTGGTATGCATTTATTATATAAAACAGTAAAAATAGAAGTATGATTGCATAGTAAATGTAAAAATTATTTTTGTTTTTAATCTTTTAGCGTTATCAATGGTTTGCGATAAAGCCAACTCGGTGAAAACAGCAACGGTTGATGCGCCAACATGGATTCATAAATACATAATTGGAAAGAATGGGTCTAACATTAAAAAGATAACTCAGGACTTATCAAAGGTCCATGTTGACATAACGCATTCTGAAGATAAGGTTAAAATCGATGGTCCCCCGGAAGAAGTGGAGAGAGCTCAAGTGGAGCTGGACGACTTTGTGAAGAACCTACTTGCTACCCTTACTTATGTTGAACTTTCTGTTGATCCTAAATTTTTCAAACACATAATCGGCAAAAATGGAACTAACAGTAAGTTATGTTTAAATGTCTTAAATCAAACTATGAACATGCATTTTTCTTAAGAAAATAGTAACAATTTATTCCTTTTTTTTTCACAGTTAATAGACTGAAGGATGAGACTGGTGTAGTTATTAATATTATCGAAAACGAAGGCAATAACGTTATTCGTATCGAAGGTAGCCATAAGGGTGTCGAAGACGCCGAAAGGGAACTGAGGGAAATGGTGATGAAACTAGAGAACGAAAGGAATAAAGAAGTTTATGTAGATCATAGATACATAAAATCGCTGATCGGTGTTAGGGGAGATAAGATCAAGGAAATTCGCGATAAGTTTGACCGCGTACTTATAACTCTGCCCGACCAGGGTCAGAAGAGAAGCCCTATCAAATTAAGGGGACCACAGGAAGACATTGAGAAGTGTGAAAAGTACTTACACAAGGTGATCAAAGAGATTGCGGAGTCGTCGTATGTGCAGGAAGTGCCTATTTTCAAACAGTTCCATAAGTTTATTATTGGCAAAGGTGGCGTGAATTTGAGAAAGATTAGAGATGAAACGCAAACCGTCATCGATCTCCCGGCGGAGGGTGACGACAGTGATGTTATTACTGTGCGAGGGAAACGCGATAATGTGGAAGAAGCTGTGCGTAGGATCCAACAGATCCATAGTGAAAAGGCTAATATAGTCACGGAAGAGGTGACTATCGCTCCCAAGCATTACAACTCCTTAATCGGAACAGGTGGCAAGTTGATCCATTCTATTATGGAGGAGTGTGGAGGTGTATTGATTAAATTCCCTTCCACGGACAGCGATAGCGACAAAGTCGTTATCAAGGGACCTATTGAGGATGTTGAGAAAGCCAAAGTGCAACTCTTGGCACACGCCTCCGAACGCGAGCTCACCTCGCACACAGCCACCGTCCGCGCCAAGCCTGAACATCACAAGTTCCTTATCGGAAAGAATGGAACCAACATTAAAAAGATTCGAGAGCAAACCGGAGCTAGAATCGTTTTCCCGACTGATAAGGATGAGGACAAAGAAGCTATCTTCATTATAGGTAAAGTTTTAAATAAAACCAAGTTAAAGTTAACCTACTAATAGTCTTATCACTTACATTGTAATAACAACATGATATTGATACTACCAATTTAAACTGAAATGGAAATAAGAAATTGCATCAACATATTTCACTTGTTGGCATTGTCATTTATTGTCTATTGATTTATTAAGGATAGTTATGGATATAAACACATCTGTTTTTAATATGTAATTATAACCTTAAAAGTTGTTTAGATAAGTTTGTTATAGTTAGTAATTAGTATTGAAATGAGCAGGTCGCGAGGAGCAAGTGTCGCAGGCGCGCAAGCAGCTGGAGGCGGCGGTGGCGGAGATCAGCAACGTGTCGGAGGGCGAGATGGCGGTGCCGCCGCGCCACCACCGGCACTTCGTGGCGCGCCGCGGCGAGGTGCTGCGCCGCATCGCCGACGACTGCGGCGGCGTGCAGATCTCCTTCCCGCGACAGGGCGTCAACAGCGACCGCGTCGTGCTCAAGGGGCCCAAGGACTGCATCGAGGCGGCTAAAGTGCGCATCAACGAGATCATTGAAGATTTGGAGGCAAAGGTAAATAATTATCTAAGTTCACCTCCAAATACATTGCAAGTTATGGCTATGGACTTTAAGCCACTCTTGTCAAAAAAATTCTTAATGGCTCGGATTCACTTTGACAAACACAATTTTGGATACAATGTAAAGGAAAGCAGACCTTTAGACTCTAATGGCCAATAGCAAGAACTACTACATTATTTAATAAAAAAATTCTAATTATTATAAAATGTTGCAGGTGACAATAGAGTGTGTGATATCACAAAAGCACCATCGCACCGTGATGGGCGCCCGGGGCTCCAAGGTGAAGGACATCACCGCGGAGTTCGACGTCCAGATCAAGTTCCCGGAGCGCGACAACGCGGAGGCAGCTGACGTGCCGGTGCGGGCGGAGGACGCGGAGCCCGGCGCTAACGACATCATCAGAATTACTGGTCGCCCAGAGAACTGTGAGGCTGCAAAGAAAGCACTATTGGATCAGGTAATAGAATGTTTTTTTATGTATTGTTTTTTTTTCCCAACTGACAGGACTGGTGTATGTGTGCAGATTCATAAAGTTATAAGCTCAAGTAACTGTAACATATTTTTTTATGTACCCAAAATGTTTGTTATAGGTCCCGATAACAATAGATGTGGATGTGCCTTTTGAATTGCATAAACTTCTCGCTGGCCAGAAGAGGCGTGAGTTGATGCAAACTTATGATGTTCATATCCTGATGCCTCCCATTGAGGAGACCTCTGATCAGGTCAAGGTTGGTATTCATAAAAAATATAGTGTTATAGTAATATTTTATGCTTATTGTGACTAATTAATGTACACTTTTGTTTAAGGTGACTGGAACTCCAGCTAATGTGGAAAAAGCCAAACAAGCTCTTTCCGAAAAAATTGTCGAGATGGAGAAAGAAAAGGAAGATCGACTTCTCAGGTGATTTATTTTATTTTGTGCATTATTTACGAAGTTTTAACGTAATACCAATTTAAAAAAGTAAAATTGAATATAGCATTAATTTATGAATATCAAATTCATTAGTGTGTACATAGCAGTTGTAATGTTTGTTTAGTTTATAATAAACAATGTTACATTTTGTCCAGGTCTTTACACAGCTGTTTTTTAAGCATGTTCAAGGTTAACCTTTTAAAATAATTCCTGTGTTGCTTACTTTTGTGTTGAAATGATAAACTATTATATCTACATGGAGACAATTAATTTAATTCTTGCCTAATTCTATATTCATAATTACAAATATGTTATTTTTGACGAACCTGGGTCGTACTTTTAAGAGTTTTCATTATATGAACGTTTGTAAATAATTTAATATGCACGCATATTCATGTACAATCGCAGAAATCCGCAGTGTTCTACTTACACTACTTACAGAAAGATTTCCTAGTTTCTTGCAATAAAATTAACTCCGCCTTTACTTACAAATAATTATGTAGTTGGAAGTTGCGCAAACAAGGGGGTTATAATATAAATCAATTAACAGCGTCATATTGGCTATTGTTCCGCGTCTCCAGCACAATGAGTACAAAACTTTTTTAATGAATGTATCTTCTAAGGTGGAACACCATCGGATTCCCAGATTGTACACTTTCACATGGATTTGAAAACCAAACCTAAACCCAACGACTATTATTGTCAATTTTTTTTATTATTACGTCAAAATCATTGATTGATATTTTGAATCTAGCTGATAATTTATACTTAATAGATACTGACTTACTGTACATGAATACAAGTCAAATGACACTCAAAATCACTTCAGCTGTGTAGTCTACAGGTCAAAAATTGTCATACTACCAGAAAAATCATTGTGAACCATGGTTATAATTTACATACCTGTCACATTTCTGTTGTATGCTTTCAAACTATGACTATTTTGCATAAATTTAATAGTAAATTACATTTATCACAGGTCATTCGAGTTGAAATTCAAAGTGGATCCTGAATACCATCCTTTGGTCATTGGGAAGGGTGGGTCAGTGATCACGAAGATCCGCACCGATTATGGAGTACAAATCAACTTGCCCAAGCGCGGGGACCCCGATGATGATATCATCACCATCCAGGGCTATGAGGACAAGGCGCAGCAGGCCAAGGATGCCATTATGGCTATTGTGCATCAACTTGTAAGTTTAAACAAAAAAACTAAATGTGACTAAACCAACCTAATCTGGTACTTT